GTCTGCATGTGTCTTAAATCACAATAACAAACCTTAGACTACACGTGTTCAATTCGAATTTTTATAGGCATGAAAAAATAATATAAAAAAACTAAATTGTGTAACGAGCCTTTCATTTTGGATATTTGAGGTAATATCTTCTTATACAATCGATCATGAAATTGCTCAATAGATATATATCAGAATGTTTCAAAAAGAAATCTTAAGAATGTTCGAAACGTTTAAGTTCATGAGATTGCAAGAAAATCGCAGACTGTCATTGATTTTTATAAATTATCTGCAGAATTTTAATACAATGCTGAAACGATTTTTCTTCATAAGACAGTGTTTATGAAATATGAAATATTTTTTAATTTAAATATTTATACTTTCTAGTATTTACTATTTCTTGAATAATATTTTCTTCTTACAAAATCGTATCTTGTAACTTGATATCAATACTGCTATTATATATAGATAACTTCTTCGTTGTAATATTTGGAATTTAAGACAGTTTTTATGTGACTTGATAATTTTTGAAACACCTAAGACATTTTCTAAGCTTGTAGATGTAAACCTGCATGTTTAAAAATAATCATATACTCCTCGGTAATAACAGTATCGTATAAATTTTCTAAAATATATATATGTGTGTGTGTGTGTGTGTGTGTGTGTGTATAAACAATCACGATAAAAATCTAGTAATAAGTCGATGAAGCATGTATGTGAATTAATACTTTACAAAATTTGATTTGGTGGGATTTTATTCCTCCTCGTCAAGAACCTCAATGGCAGCGCTTCCTGTGACATCGACTAATTCTCTAGAGGTAAAAGTGGCAATGATCTTCTGCGAACCAGCCTTTTGGGGGATCAGTTGATGTTCTACGTAGATATCTTCCTCAGGATCGATGTCTCGGAACGCTAAAGTTTTGTTTCTTGTTAATCCTGGGCCAGCGTAATTGAACTTACACTCTGTTAATACCCTCTTCAAGGGATTCTTGAATCTGAGGCTGATTGTCGATGGTATTCCTACTACAGGCTCGCCGTCGATCTGGCGATTAATTAATTAATTCATTTATTCAACTTACGTATTTATGCGAAATTTGAAAGTCGAACGATGTATAAATACAGCGAAATATTTAATAGATGAAGCTACTTAAACTTAATTTCTTCAATTGTGTCAACAAAAATATGTTCCGCGTAAAAAGCTTACAAAATTATTGTACGTAATATTTTGTTAATTTAATTTCATTGCTACTTTCGTTGAATTTAATTTTATTACTTGGAATTGAATGAATCCATTTCAATTTTTTTAACTAATTTCTCAAGGAGAACATAAAACATAAGATAAAATAAAATAGTCTAAATAGTATTAATCTTAACGTAAATTGCTATTATATCTGTAATCCAATCATATTGTTTAAAGATTAGATATTCAGTTTTAATTGCACGAGAATTTCAGACGAATCTACTTTAATAAGTTTTTTAATCAAATAGTATAATACCTTGACTGTGATGTTCGGTTTCAAGACCTGAAAATCATCCTCTTCAGCCCATGTCTGTTTGGTCTCCATGACCGTGGCAATGGAATACAATTTCATGTTACAATACTCCACGAGCTTGTCCAAATAATCATCCACCGTAACCCTGAGCTTCAACTGCTCGGCTGAGAAGAGAAATTAGGCATGACCGAAATGTAATTATCGTCAACATGGAAATATAAAAGGCGCGATCTAAATTCTAACAATCCGGTGAAGAGATCAAACAGAGGCGGACATCGATAAAAAATTTAATTTTAATTTTAAAAGAAGCAAACAGTATGGCAAATAAGTAAATTTAAAAGAAGCAAACTTACTGGCTTGTGGTCTAAGAACAAAGTCACCAGACGCCCTCTTTACCAGATGTGCCTTGATTCCCGTATAGTACACGCTGCCGGCAGATAGAACAGCTTGAATAGTGCGTGTCTCGTTCGATTTGTTCTTCATGTTCACTATAACAGCAAACGGTTGCCCGATGTTCACTCGATCGATATCCACGAGATCGAACTCGACATCTTCCTTGGCGGATGAAGGCAACGAGTAGAATCTCTTGGCCAGTTCAGTATTACGCACGGCTCTGTACAATGTCAGTCGTTCAACTTCCGTCCCTAAATGAAAAAGAATTTGAAATTAATAATATTGAAATTACTATTGAAAGTATTCGAACAAGAACAATTACGATTTGTGATCTTTCAGAGAGGAATTTTATAGGTGTATATAGAATTATTATAAAAAGTTATAATGAAATTTTATTCTACGCGTATCGAAAAAATAATGTCTTTGAATCGTGACGCGAAGTCTTCTGCAGGAAAAATTTTATTTGAATGGTATATTAATGCACGTTTAATAGATTCATATTTACCTTCCTTAGCTTTGTAAATAGATGTTATGTCCTCTCTGTCTCTGTCGCCATTTGGATCGAAAATCCAAGGTGCTTTCGTCAAGATCATTCGACCGATGCTGTAAATGATAGAAAAGTTTTCGTCGAAATAAAAAACAGGAACGTGTTGCTTACAAAAAATGAGTTTTCATTTCTCCAGAATTATAAGTGATTTATGATAATTAACAGAAACGAAACTTTAATTTAGTTGTTAGAATTTATTTTTTACCAGTGCTCGATTGATGATCAATTAAATTCAAAGTTATTTAGCACAAAATTCTTTTCAACCTTTAAGGTCGGTAACATTACAAAAAGTAGTATTTCATAAAATAGTTTCTCTGCGAAAAAATAGTATTTCACGCGAATTTGTAAACAGAATGACAAATGTTACAAATATTATTTTGTTAAATTATTATTTAAAATGTAAATATTGTTAAATTATAGAATAATAAAATTAAAAAAGAACAAAAAAAAAACAACTTTTTGACACAGTCTTTTAAAACTTAGTTGCAGTGAACCAATAAGGGGTTAATTAAGTATTCTAATTAGGTTTCTTCATCTGAATTTCCCGTCAAAATACCATTAAAAAAATATCTATTTGTAGAAGATTAAAAAATAGTTAAGAATAGTTAGGAAGAAAATAATTCGTAGACTAAAATACGCCAAGAATGCGGTTGTGTGATTCCAGATTTTAATGATTTTGAAGTTATATGTACTACGCTACAGTGTCTTATGTAAACGATAATATTCCTCGATGACATCAAGGCCAAAATTACCAATTACAATTACGGATTTTAACACGCAGGTGATTCAAAACAAAAATTATTGCACAGTAGGATGTTTATATCGTTAACGATTCCTACGACAGTAATAATACGTCTGTCGCTATGCTAATTTTATTTTTTATCGGGAATCTTCGTATCTCGGAATATAGAAGGAACGTAGGAGATTTACATATCACGTTGTTTATGAATTATATCAAAGTTATCGTTATACATTTATTTTAAAATTAAATGAAATGTTGTTTCATATTCTTCGGAATTTTTAACATATTGCTCATCTTAATATCACAACATTGAAATGTATTCAAACGTTGCTTTGCTTTATGAAATATTCATAAAATTTCTTTGAAACTAGCAGATTATTTAAATTTCTAATTGTCAAGCAATATCCCTCTCAAACTTTCCTGTTTAATCGACGAATACTCAACTCTATGTCGAATTCCTTCGAACAATAAACTACTACTAAAATCAGCGCATTTTACTCTGATACAATCGTATAACATATTTCTCCAGTAAAATTTGACAAATCACGAAGTTTCTTCTTGCAAACGACAATAGAACGATACAGAGAGATACAAGGCATACTCACTGATACTTGTTGCAATCAATCTTCCTGTAGCCGAGCTCGCTGTCGGGATCCTCCATCCACCTCATCAGATCAGCATTTACCGATGCCAGCATGAACGTCACGTCGTAGTTGTATCCAACGACGCCTTGTTTAATCGCTTCGACCGAGGCTGGCCCGCACTGATACACACCGTCCGATGTTTCCTGAGGAGTGGAGTCGATCGCTTGCCAACCACCGTAACCCTTAGGCAAATCCGGCCTGGCCATCCACACGTCGTTCCAAACGTGATAATTCCAGATCGAGTCCTCGCCGTCGAGGTTGTTCGGATCGTATTCGAGTTCCTCGTTGTTCCTGCTGTAGTAACGATCGACGGAGAGCGAGGCGTTCGCGTCGTGGGCCGACACTAAATTCGAGACAACGCGGGACGGTATGCCGAGTGCGCGACACACGGTTGTCACGACACCGGCGAACACCCAGCATTGACCGTATTTCACGGAGTCGCCGGTTTCGAGGAACTCCTCGAGGATCGGCACGCTTCCGGTCCAAGCGGCCGGGGCCGTGCCATCGGCGTAGTCCCCGTCCCACCGACCGACGATCACTCCACGGTCGTCGTTCGAGTTCACCTGCGACGAAACGAGTTTTCTTTAGAATAGAAAAAAAAGGGGGGGGGG